ATCTAGAGGTTATTGTGGTTTTTTTTTTTTTTTTTTTTTTTTTTTCTTTTTGTACCAAGGATAGAACTCTGGTCCCTGCACTTGCAAGGCAGGTGGCAAAACAACTAAGCTAAAACTAAGCTAAATCCCTGGCCCATGATGTTCTTGAATATGGTGTTGGATGTAAAGAAATGTGGTCCAGTGCTCACAGGTATTAATTTTGAGTGGTGAATGTATATGTGTGCTTTATTATCCTTTGTGTTACTCTTATTTTAAATTTTTCTTTTCAAAATTCCTTATTTTCTCGCCCATATCTAGACCAAATCTGGATCAATTAAACACCTCCTCCTCCAGCTAGCATTATTTTTTTCTTGGCCATCTGGTAATTTATCATTTGACCCCTTTGTCTGACACTTCTTTGCTGGTCCTTTCTTTCCCTCCTCCTGCTGGGGAAAAAAATAAGAAAGCACAGAATGACAAGCTTAGGACAATCTGTGCTGATCTCAGAAGTGCCCTAAGTGTCCCCAAGATCTCAGAAGCAAATAACTCCAGAAACTCTCAATGTCTCATGGTTCACTGTGAATATATCTGAGAATGTCCACTTAAAGAAGGAAAGATTGATTTTGGCTCTCAGTTTCAGAGGATTCAGTCCCTGGTCAGCTGGTCCAAGGCAGAGACATCCATGACGGAAGGGCATAGAGAAGAGAGCTGCTCATATCCTGGCCAGCAGGAAAAAGGGGAAGAGAAAGAGCCAGGCAGGAAGGGACCAGGGGCCAGATGTGGTCTCCAAGGTCCCTCATGATGCACTCACCCAAACCTGAGCCCACTTCCTGTGTCCCTCCCCTCCCAATAATGTCAACAAATTGTCATTTCATTAGTGGCTCATTGTACTGATGGAGTCAGAGCCCTCATGAGCCAATCACTTTTCAAAGGTTCATCAACAACCAGGTCATCAACACAAGAAGGCTTTAGGGGCCCATATCATATCCAGCTTTCTCTAAATTTCTCCAGCAGGGAATTAGAGGCATCGTCCTCCCAATCAGGCAGAAGTAACCCGGGAAGGGTGCTCTCTAACAGCAAGTGATGCAAAGCCTATGGGCAGATCCTTATTTAAGGGCAATCTATTATTACCTTGCAAATAAAATGTGTAAAGCCATTAAATACCATACAACTGGAAACATTTAGTAATGACAGTTTTGCAATAGCATCTTATAAACACGGCTGAGGGAAATTACCTTTCTGCTTTTATTAAAACTGTCAAAGCAGACATTTCACCAGACTAAGTAAAATAGGTAAAGAAGCTTCTACACAACACTCTTGCAACTGCAGAGAGATCAGAATGCACTGTGAACTCAGCCCTGCTGGAAAAGGGGTACACAGAGTTTTTAAAACCTGGGGCCTGGTGCAAGGGAGAACGGGAACTGTAGGCCTCTACTTGTTAGTTGGTCTCACTCAAAGGTCAAGTATCTTTCATGATATAGCTTTGCAATTGTATGTGAAAAGCCCAAAGAAGTCAGGCTCCAACCCCCTCCCACCAATAGTGGGAGCTTTCTGGTACCTGATAGCCATAATGTGGGGCTATCTTTCCTTATTACATTCCAGAAGGACGACTCCCGGGTCCTTGGGAAAGACATTCCTCAGCTGAACCCCTGGCAAGAGGCTGAAAGATTTACAGACGTTTCAAAGTGCTACCAGGTCTTGAGGGTGATGGAGTCTCCTTCTGAGGTCGTTTCTAGGTTCTTTCTGGCCTGAGCAAAGCATTGGTCAAGACAAGCACAACAAGAGCAAAGTTTAATTAAAGGTAGGAAAAGAAATGGGCACTGCAGAGCAAGTTTGGGCCAAGTAAAAGTAGGAAAATAAAAGATCGCCCTACAGCGTGAGGATGGGCCATGGTGAGGAGGCTCAGTCGTAAGTGCTTAGCAATGACTGTCTCTCTCAGAGCCGCCCCATGGAACACTTGCTGGAGTCCCCCAGAGAAGCCCACCTGCAGGGAACGGTTCTGGGCATGTGTCCCAGGATTCGTAGTTAACAGCTCATCCCTACTTTTCCAGCCGTCTCTGCCATTCCCTCATCTCCGGTCTCAAAAGTGACAGAGAAAGAATCTGTGATTGTACATGTGTTAAAACAAGTTTTCTAATAAAAGAGAGACCAGGGACCTGCCATTGGGAAGAAGATGGACTAAAGTGTAGTCAAGCTATGATCTGCCTGTACTGATCCAGTCTGCTTCTCTTATGGCAGACCCAGATGCTAGAGATAATTAGATAAATATGGCTTTACCCTTCTACTCTGCATCCTCACGACTAAGCAGTATATCTTTTTCATGAAACTTATTTTAAGGGAGTTCTAAGGCATAAGTCTTAAAAGATCACTGTAGTGCCACTATCTTTCATTCCCCATTCGACAAATCTTCATTGAGAACCTACTATCATGTGCCAAACACTGCTGCCGGTACTAGAGCAAGTGATGAGTCAAAGTCCATGGGTCCTTGGTGCTCACACCGGAGCAGAGAGACAGACTTATAAATGACGTGTCAGGGGTATCAGATGCAATGAAAAGGACCAAGTAAGGGAAAGGGGTAGGAACCAATAGGGAGGGTGCTCTTTGAAACAGTGGTGTCAGGGGAGACGCATCAAAAAAGTGACCAGATGGGCATAAAGGAGAGGGCCATGCAAATATCGAGGGTACAATTGTTCCAATAAGAAAGTACAGTGAGTGCAGAGGCCGTGAAGGGGCGGGAGATCAGTCCTAGGAGTAGTGCAGGCAGCTGGGCAAGTGGTACAGTGGAGTAAGGGAGGAGGTGTGTGAGTCAGGGCAGAAAGCTTGGCAAAGAGCACAGGTTGGGTCCTGCTGGGATTTCCATCCTTGGGAAAAACTTTTCATTTCACTTTCGTTCATATCAGGAAGCCATCTCTGAAGTTATTTGAAAAACGATATTGAGTATTGTCCTGATGTTCAAATTTCTCTGACTGGATTTGTTCATTTTTCTTTCACATAAAAATACCAGAACACAATCATCTGTAGTCCTGATGACATAAGTGGACTCATCAAAATTAAAGGCTAAACTTTTTTCTCCAGTTTAATACTTTCCTTTCCGCAGCACTAAAATGGTGCTGCTGTTTCCAAACTTTATGCTATTTTGCCCCAAATTTTAGCTTTAAAATACCCCACAATTTTACATTCAATAATAGCTTTGAACTCTGTTGCTTCTGGTTAATTTTTGATATTCTTTGATTAACCATTTATAGAGAGTCTATCCTTTCTTAGATTTTTTTTCTTTCAGGCTCAGTTCCTCAAAATCTTGGGTGCCTGCTGCAGGACCTGCTCGAGTTTCTTATTTCTCACAGTTGTTAGCCTTGAGGACTCTTCTTCGATTTCTTCACTGATTTCTCCTCTACTTTCAAGGCTTCATCATCTTTGCCTAATTTAATTGATGAAGAAAATCCACGGTACATCAGAGGAAGCTGAGTACGTGTAACAACCAAGGAGCCCTTTGGGGCCAACCAGTGGCTACCAGATCTTGATGAAGACTGGAGATTTCCAGAATTTACTTCCTTGTGTCAGGCAACAGGTAAATGTAGCAGCAATAATAGTTTGCATCTCTGATTTGTTACCAGTTATGGAAGATCAGGCATTTTTGTTTTGGAATGTCCTGCACAGCGCTTTCCAGAAAATGATCTCCAAAGCCTGCCACCAAATTTCTTCTTCGTGGCGCTTGACAATGCAGCATTAGAAAACAACTAGAACACATTGATACGTCCCTGCATAGAGGACCACAGTTTCATAGAGAAAGTGAGTATTCAATCTTTAAAGCAGTTAAATTAACCGGTCTTTGTTAAGATTTTTTTTTCCCCCTAAGTTTATCGGTACATTTAGGTGTCCATCACGATCACATTCATCATTGAGAATTTGTACCTGTACGTGATATATCTTGGTTCTTGCTTTTTCCTGTTCCCCTTCCCTCCCTTCTGCCCCTCCAGCCCTCCTTATTTACATAAGCTTCGTTTCCCTTTTTCCTCTCATAACTTTTACTTTCCCTAGTTTCCTCTCCCCCACCCCACCTCTACTTCCCCTATCCCTTTGAGCCTTTTCTTTCGATTTCACATCATCTATTATACATTTTGATCCTCATTTACACTTCCAGTTCTCACACCAGAGAAATGATTCAGTATTTATGCACGGGTTTACTATTCATTTCACTTAAGATTATGGTCTCAATGTACATCAATTTAGCTATAAATGTCTCTAGTTTATCATTATTTATGGCTGAGAAGTACTCCATTTTATTAAAAATATATATCTTCTTTAGTCAACAGCTGATAGGCATTTGGGCTGTTTCCAAGATTTAGCTGTTATAAACTATGCCATTATAAACACGGGTGTGCATATATCACTGTGGTATGATGTTCTTAATTTCTTTGGGAAGATACCCAGAAGGGGAATAGCTGGGTCAACTTGTACCTCTAATTCAAGTTTTCTGAGGCATCTCCACATTAATTTCCACAGCAGTTGTAGCAGTGTGCACTACCACTTACAGTGGAGAGCATTCCTTTATCCCCCACAGCTCCACCGGCATTTGTTACTGGTTGATTTCTTCTTAAGTCAAAAATTAAAAAAAATTGCTTAGATTGTTGGCTACTGCCTAGACATAATTTTGGTTAGCAAAAGTCCATGTAAATAAATTTATCTGTAACCTTGACTTAAAGGAGCATCTCTGTTATGAAAAAATATAAAGTATCACTAAAGCACTGTTTTTGTCAAAGCAGACAAGCCTATGTTGTTTATTTTAAATCTACACATTTCTATTATTTCTTTGGAAGTTTCTCGGACTTCAGTTTTCAGACTAGTAACAGAGTCATGTAAAATATATCTATGGCAATCTCCACACGTTATTTTGTGGGGCTGTAGACACCGATGACACAGGAGACAGAGCTATTCTTTCATTCTTTCACCTGCTCGCAGACACTTGTGGGCTTGTGCCCTGCTGAGCGTGAGGCAGATTGCAAAAAGCAACCTAAGTAGCACACTCTTAGGTGGAAGAGATGGGTTTACACTAAAACATCACCACTAAATACAAAGTGGGACGTGAATGCTACAACGAGTGACAACCAAAGTGTCCAGACTTCGTGGAGGTAGAGATCACTTCCATCTAAGAATGTTCTACAGCAGTGGTGGCGAACCTATGGTATGAGTGTTGCAGAAGGCTGTGTGCGCCATAGAAAGCTCTCAAAGTTTCGCCATCCCTCTTCTAGACACTGCTTGAAAATGGGCATGATGGTAGTTAGAGCAGTCAAGTCAGAAGTTCCCTAGAGAGTTGAAAAAGAAATACAATGGCAGTAAATAAAACTGATTCTCTGGATCCTGTCAGAATCTTACTAAAATGGTGTCAGGTGAAGTATGTCAGAAATACCATAACTAAAGACACTTAAATCATCTGGTGATCTGACTGAGCATGATCCCTAAGAGTTTCATATTAGTTTCAATCGGCAACATAAGTTATACATTGGCAACTTTTTTGTTTTCAAAAGAGACTATTTATCTCTCATTTATGCAACCTGCAGGCCCAAAATTGTGAATCATTCAGGTTGCTTAGTCACTGCTACAAAACAACAGCATGACTTCCAAGGGCCTGGGATGAAATATTTAGTTAGAAATTTAAAAGCTTAGTTAATATTTAACTCCAAAACTTGTATAGTAATGATGATGACAATAAATGATTGCCACTAATGTTGTGTAGAAATTAAATTAATGATGGTTTTAAAACATGAAAGGATTGTTTCAAGGGAAAAAGACTCATTTTGTGTGATCATACCCTGGAAGTCCAAAATGGAGTTTTTCACCATCAAGAGGCACCTTGATGAAGCAGAGATAAGAATTCCTCTTGTCCTCCACTCTGCGGTCAAACACTCACATGTTCTTCATGGACTATGGTGCATTCCTTCCAACTCTGCTCAGCCTGGGACCGAACAACCAAGGCCAGCAACCGTGGCTCTGCCTGCTCTCCTAGGGTCCCTCTCACCCACTCTTTGCTTTACCAAGGCTCTCACTCTACCTAAACCTTCTGTGTCCAAAAATAACCGTCACTCTTCCCTTTTCTTGACTTTTGCTGTCTGGAGAATAGATCCTTAGCCCAATTTCTGGATGAAGTAAGCACATGAAGACCTAACTAAAACAGCACTTCTTCCGTGAATTAAAATTGGCTCTGCTCCTTCAGCCATAGCCTTAATCAGACATTGTGCGACTTGTTTAACAACATAGAAGGGCCCTGGGAAGAGTGAGGACACCATCTCAAACTGACAACAGAGCACCCAAATACCAGGTGTACTGGGATCCCAGGGCCAGAGGAAAAAGAAGGAAATTGGGACCAGGCAGATTGAAGAACAGAGAAGCCAGGGGGTGCAGCTAGCTCAGTGTGTGTGTGTGTGTGTGTGTGTGTGTGTGTGTGTGTGTGTGTGTGTGTGTTCAGAGAAGGGAGAAAACAGGGTACAGAGGATCACTGGGGATCCCATGCAGGACATTGTAAACTCAGACTTGCCTCCCACAGAAATTGGTATTTGTTTTACATGTGTGCTTGTTCTGCAGTATTTTTATTAACAGTTCTACCAAGATACAATTCATATACTATGCAGTTCACCCACTGAAAGTGTACAAATTAATGGTTTTTCCCATATTCACTGATTTATACAAAATCGGCCCAATTTAAGAATACTTTCATTGCCTCAGAAAGAAATCCCTTATCCTTTAGCCATCATTGTCCTAAGGAAGCACCAGTTTACTTTCTGTCTCCATAGATTTGTCTATTGAGGACTGTCTTAGTTACTTTTCCTGTTGCTCGGACAAAATATCTGACAATCTGTAGAGGATTCAGTCTATAGGTGGCTGGTTTCAAGGCAGGGCTGCATGGCAGAGGGGCATCATAGAGAAGAAACAGTCTATGGAAAATCAGGGAATAGGCAGCAAAACAGTAAGCAGCAACAGCAAGCCAGCTTCCTTTTATCCCATCCAGGCAACAAGCCTTTAGGGTGGAACCACCCACAACCAGGGTGGGGCTCTGTCTTCAATAAATCCATCTAGCCACACCTACAACTATACTAATTCCATTCAATGGACTAATTTAGTGCCATGCACCCTTAATCCCAGTATCACACACCTTAGATCCAGTAAACTCTGAAAAGCCCACCTATGAGTCCTTGAGGCTTTTGGGATACATCTAAATACAAGCCACAACAATGATGTTTCATGTAAACAAAATTATGTGCTCTCTGGTCTTCTGTGACTGGCTTCTTTTAGTTAGGTGATGGCTAACTTAGCTGCCAACTTCACTAGATGAAAGGATATTCATTTGGTTGGGAAAACCACTACCTCTGGGTGTGTGTGCAAGGTTGCTTCTTGAAGATAATGCTGGAATCAATTAACTGAGTAGAGAGGATCTGTCCTCACCGTGCATGGGAGACATTGTACAAATAAGTTACAGATGGAACCAAAAGAAAGAAGAAAGGCCAATTCATATTGTCTGTCTGTCTCTCTCTGCTCCCCCACAGGGACACCAACTGGTCTTGCCTTGGTGCACCAGAACTCTATATCCTCTGACCTTGAGTCTGTGGGACCAGTGCCCCCGCTGCAGGTTCTCAGGCCTTCAAGACTGTGGGTTACACTCCTGCCGCCCCGCCATTCGGACTTTCCATCTTTCCTTTTCTTTTCTGATATTCTCACTCATGCCCCATTTCTTCTGTCTGCTACCCAAATCTCATCCATCTGAACCTACACTTTAGGTGACCCCAGGCTCGGTCCCTGTTCGGGTGCCACCTGGCAGGAGGGACAGGTCCAGATTGCCACGCTGGGAGCCACCAGCAGTGACCCACCCTGCGGGACTTGTTCCGGGACCTAGAGCCCCTGCCTTGTTCTCCATGACCCAGGGGTGAATGAGGATGAATGAGAAAGAGATACAGAGTCAGCTTAACCTGTGGGCAGCCAAGGGACTCCTACCTCTAGCGTGCAGAGAAGCCCCGAGGCTTTGGCTCACCCCACTTTTATTTACCCAAACACAGAGCAAGCAATCAAAGAAACACAAAATTCACATGCTTTCCAATACCCACTAGTGCACACTCTGGCAAACAATTTAACCTCAGCTTCTTAACTTTTCCCTAGAACCTGCAAAGTGCCTTCACCCCCGAGTGCAGCCCTCTCTTTTGTGCTCATGGAGGAGGCCGGTCGTGCCTCGTTGTCCTCTGATCTTCTGCACTATACCATTGCATTTTGTTGTACAAACATATGTGTTCTGTATATGGTTAAATATGTAAACACATACTTACACTTTTTTAAGTAGTATAAATATAATATTTTAAAGTCATAGATTTTTGGGAAGGTGACCCCAACATTTGTAATTCTTAATAAGAATTGCTTTGGATGCTTGAATATATCGTCATTGTGAAAAATGTGATTTTCCAAATCAGTCAAAAATCAGTAAAAGTCAAATTGATCAAACTGTCCAGTCCTATCTCTGGGTTAAAAGAAAATCATTCCAATATCAGCTGTTCCTGAGTGGTTTTGCTTTTTTTTTTGTTTTGTTTTGTTTTTTATTTTTTTGAACCAGGGATCAGATCGAACTTGGAACCTTGCACTTGCAAGGCAGGTGGTGGACCCACTGAGCTAAATCCCCAGCCCATCTGTGTGGTTTCATAACTCACTCTGAAAGCAAATCCAAAGGACAGCATTCCACAGTGGCTGTGTTGGAGCACTGCCAACACACTTGGTAGGGCCAGGGATTTAGTTCAGTGATTCTGCCACCTGCC